TATCGTGTTGGGGTGTTGGGCTGTTGGGCTGTTGGGCTGTTCTCTGTGGCACACCGATTTCCCAACCTATGATTTGCTCTATTCCACCGTTCTGTTGCACTTGCGCCTCCTCCGTTTCTCCTTCACGAATTTCGGTTGACTCACGAATTGACATCGATCAAAAGAGGGCAGACATATGTATGTATGTATGTATGTACTACGAGTATGTGGTGCACTGTGTTCTGCCTTAGTTTTCGCTCAACCCGTAACCGTACCCGTACTCGCACCCGTAATTGCCATTAATTAAACGAGGCTCTGGCGATCGTTTGATTTGCCATGATAATTTATACGCACTCGGGAGTAGTTGTAGTAGTACTCGTAAGAAAAAGAAAAAAAAAAAAGGGAAATTACTCAACTTTTACACGTCTGCCTGTTTAAATATTCCCCCATTTAATTGTCCCAGTGTCAATAAACGATCGCATTGATCCGCGGGAGGGTGGTGGTGCGGTGCCAACGGGGTAAATGCATCGGATCGATCGATATGACGTAATTCCGTCGAGCGGCCTCCCCGCTCCCGCTCCCCCTCCCCCCCGCCGTCAGTTGAGTGGCCTCCAGCGAGACGCCTTCGCGCTATTATTTATGAATCTTATATCGAACCGGTTGTGGGTCATATTTCAAGCCGTACTCTCGTTGGGGGGGCCCGAATGTCAAATGGTAGCGGGGGTTGCACGCACACACACACACAGATCTTTCCTCCCACACAGAAAGTGTACGCTATCCGGGAATCAAGGAAATCTATGGGAGGACACAGACTTGAGCTCGTCTTCAGCTTGGACAAACAGCCCCAGGCTGCGTTTTGCCTTACTTTCGGCCTAAAGAGTCCACTCTTTTTTGGCCTGATTTTGTGCCTGTGTGTGTGTGCCTGTGTGTGTGTGTGTGGGGGGCTATCGTGTATCTTTTATGATGCCATTATGCTGTCACGTTTTCATGCTCATTTTGGCAGGCCGACTCAATGAGTCAATGGCTGGGCCCTTCTTCTGGCTCGAGTGCCGCATCAGCTTCTAGCCAGTTAGACGGCCCATATTTGTGGGCCATTACATCATCAAAAGCAGAGGCAGAGGCAGAGGCACAACAAATTGTGGCCAATATTCGAAATATTCTGTGGGTTTTGTTTTTCTTGATCAGGTTGGCTTTTTTTTCTATATCTTATCGGGCATTTGCTGTTGTAATTGTTGACTGCACTCTCTGTCTCCGCTTTTATGGCTATTAACTCTCCCTCTTCCGCGCACTCGCACTCTCTCTCTCTTTCTCTAAGGAGTTGTTGTTTCTATAGTAATTTCCACACCTTTCGACACTTACACCGTGCGGTGCGTCGCAGTTACTTTCAACAACAGCACTCATCCCACCCCCACAGCGAGACCCTCCAGAGACGTGTATGTATAGATGATAGCGGTTATGGAAAACAAGGAGGAGGTGGAGGAGGAGGCAGGAGGGGCCAAAGACAACAGTATTCTCCATTGTCTATTGTCGGAGCCGAGAGCTACCTAGCTCTCTGGTGCCTTTTGTTTCGTTTCGTTTCGCCTTCTTCTGGGGCGTAGTTTAGTCATTGTCTGGTGGGATATTGGGCAATATTTCCCTGCCATACAACTCGCTCGCTCGCGTACATTTCCATTCCACACGACAACGTTCGGTTTTTGCTTAGATTTCATCATCATTTAACAGACCCATCCCAAGTAGTGGGTGCCAGTCATAATCATAAACACCAAATCTCTGAAATATCAGCACCAAATCATGCCAGAGATCTATGCTAAAACTTTAATGGCCCTACAATTATTGTCTAGTTCCAAGAAATTCACCCCCAAAGAGTGCCTCCTCGAATGTTGTCGGAGATCAGGAACAACGTTTCCATATATCCATCCATACACGGCGCTTCTCCACCATATACTATGCAGATATGTGGGTATTATATATCTGGCGGAGGAGATGTGGCAACAGCAAAAGCCTTTTAATTGATAGATCAATATCGCGGTGATTGGTTTCTGTTGTGCGTGACATATGGCACGGAGGGCCTATCGCAATACTTTCGGGGCATTGGGGGGAGCCTGGTGTCTGTCTGGCGGTGGTGGTGGCGGTGGTGGTGCACTTATCTGAAATGATAAAGGGTGGAGCAGCGGCGGGCCATGGACATGGGGAGCGACATGTGTGCTCATGGCCATGCCTCCCAGAGGTGTCTCGAGTCGGTGCATATGCCCCAATTAGAGCCAACCAGCCCACCCCCCCAGTGCGGTGCGGTGCGGTGCGGTGCGGTGCGGTGCGGTGCGGTGGGGTGCCATATGTTCCTTTTCATTTCATTTACTTGGTCCGCTGCTGCCGCCATAATAAATATATCATTGAGACAGGTTCCCTATCGTCCACTTATTCGATATTGGATATTGGAAATTTTCTTTCATTTTTCCATTTTTCCATATCGCTAATTGATTCTTGGCCGCCCAGAGGATTCTCTCTCTGGTCCCTGGTCAGGGTCTGTCATGCAACCTGCCCCATTCGCGGCACACGCTCCTCATCCAGCCGTGGGGCATGGGGTGGGGGTTGATGATGGGGCAAATACGGAAATGATGTGTTCAAATTTCAATTTATTTATCACATTTTTATGCACCCCAATTCTGCTTTCTGCTTTCTGCGTTCTGCGTTCGATTTCGATTTGGATTTCGATTCCGATTTCGATTCGTTTTTGCGGACCTTAGTTTTTGTTTTAGTTTTGGGCCTCCGCTTGACGCGTCGCGACGTTGCCTGCGTTGCGGCCTGAAATGCGAAACAAGCACCATCTGACGTGCAAATATATCTGCGGACTGCTCTGCGACCACAAATCGAGGTGCGGTCGGGGCGGTCGGGGCCGGGGTGGTGCTTTATACCATACAAGAACTCGGACAATAATCAAATTACTTTATGGTGCTTTGTGCTGGTGTGTTTCGTGGTAGTTCTTGTGAAATTCGAAGAAGGCAGCCCCCACCCCACTCCCCCACATGCCATTTCGATTGAGGGGTGGTGGGGGGTGGGCTGTGTGTGTCAGTGTGTCAGTGTAATTGGAGGCCACGATCGAAGGGGAGCCTGCCACTGCCACTGCCACCAGCGGGAGTGCACGCACGTGTTGCTGGGTTTTCTCCAACGAAAGAATGTGTGTGTCACGAGGCATTGGGAAACTGAGAAACTGAGTAACTGAGAGACGGCAGTCTCTAGCAGCACCGCCGCTGCTAATTTCCTTATCGAATCGATAGAAAACAGTGGACAAAAAAAAACCCTCTTATTGCATGCGCGAGTGTGTGTGTGTGCGTGTGTGTGTGCAGGTAGAAAAAAGTGAATGATTCGTTGAGAGAGCTTTTCGATCTTGCGCTTTTGCCTGGCGTTTGGCATGGGAAGAGAGCTTTGGCGATCTCTCTCTCTCTCTCTCTCTCTCTCTCTCTCTCTCTCTCTCTGCCTCCCTTGGGCACTGTGGCTTGCTCCTTGAAGACGGCCCCGAATGAGAGTTACAGCTAACCTTTAAGCTTTTCCCTGATGTAAGAGCTTTTTTCATTGTAAGATATTCCACCCTTGAGATTCGTCCTCGCAATCTTTGTGGGCCATCAAGGACTGGCATCCGGCAGTGGATTTCAATTGAAACTAAAGCACATGCGGGCATGACCTCTGACCTGCACCTGTACTTGGCCCCCAAGTGGCGCCACCATCCCATCCCCATCCCCATCCCCTTCTCAGCCACCATCAGGTGTCCTTGGAATATTCAAATTCAACCTCAATGACAATGTGGCACTGCCGCTGCCGCCGCCGCTGCCGCATGCGGGGGCCCAATTTTCATTATCTACAGACAGATAGAGCGGGGCAGGTGGCGGGCGGAGGCGGGGGTTAGAGGTTGGAACGGAACTGGGAAGTTACCTGCCCATTGAGGGGCCTCCCCCTGGGGTTGGGGGCCATGCCTGGCTGCCACAGAGCTGAAAATGGGAAAAACAAATGCGCACAAATGTCATAACTATATACTCGTATACCCCCAAACATATATACTCGTATCTACAGCTGGGGTCAACCCAATAGGGGCGACAGAAAGAAGAGGAAAAGGTGAAATGGAGAGATCAGCCGTGGGGGTTTAAGGGATAAAGGGATACATTTCAATCGAATATTGAACCGAGCATCGGCAGAACTTACCCGACTTTGGCGGTACAGAGGTCATGTGTGCTATTATTGTGACCTCTGCTGTATGCAGATATACTCGTACTCATGTGGATCAACTCGTGTGCATATGTGCCTAGGCATTTGGGAGCTTTATCAGCACGCTTCGTTGGCTCTCCTCCCGCGCCTTCGTGCTGGTGGGCGGGGGGGTGGGCGGTGGGAGTCATGGGCATAATTATAATCACAAGTGGGTTTATTTTTTAAGTGCCCAAAGAGCCGCTTTGCCTGTGCCCTCCCCGACTCCACTCGACTGATAAATAAGTTTGGTTCGGGCTCTGCCTCTCCAGCCGCCACCATTCATGGGACCACGCCATGCCACGCCACGCACTTTCTGGTTTTTTTTTTGTTCCTTTGGGGGGGCAACTCGTATAAACAAATAAAAACGTAGAAACGTAGAAAAGTGTACAACAAATTGTTGATTCTTCTTTTTGATAAGATTTACGAGTACGTAAATTTATTTTTTAGTCGCGTCTGGCGAGGGTTTCTGATTGTTTTGCGGCGATTGTAGTTGTAGGAAGTTGTTTCTGCTTGAAATTCAGATCATCTGAAAGAATTGTCCAGTTCCAGCATTAATTCTTGACTTTGGAGATGTATTTTTGCTCAAGGAGATCGTTTATATCTCTGATCCTAATGATATCCCCAATGATCCCTTTTCTCCAAGAGACTTTGGATATTTCATGTTGAGTTCTTCCTTGAATAATAAATCAAATGCTTTTTTTTTTTTAATATTTGCGCAAAGGATGAACGGAGTGTCTTTCGCTCCTGTGTATTATCAGAATATATTAACAACATTGACCGACACCAAATGGTGGCCAACAGTACCTTATAAGAAACGTGGAAATCGTAGTCCAAGGGGCTGTGTCATGAGATCGGATCAGGAGCGGGACCAGGAACAGGGACTGCTCTTAAAGCAGCCAGCTGGCCTGTCCGCACACGCACTGGCGGATCCTTTGCTCGAGGTTGCGCGCAGAGTTGATCAGCTCCTGGCAGAGGTACTCCCTGGGCGGGCAGCCCGCGCAGGCGTTGCCACCGGGTCCGCAGGAGCAGCATGAATGCGGTGGCTTCTTGGTGGTTGTTGTCGGCTTGGTGGCTTCTGTAGTCCTGCGAGTGGTTGTTGTCGTAGGCCTGGTGGCTTTCGTAGTACGCTTTGTGGTTGTTGGCTTGCGAGTTGTTGTTGGCTTGCGAGTTGTTGTTGGCTTGGGCGTTGTTGGCTTGGGAGTTGTTGGCTTGGGAGTTGTTGGCTTGGGAGTTGTTGGCTTGGGCGTTGTTGGCTTGGGAGTTGTTGGCTTGGGAGTTGTTGGCTTGGGAGTTGTTGGCTTGGGCGTTGTTGGCTTGGGAGTTGTTGTGCATGGCTCTGGTGTTGTTGTTTCTGTGCATGGCTCTGGTGTTGTTGTTGTTTCTGTGCATGGCTCTGGTGTTGTTGTTGTTTCTGTGCATGGCTCTGGTGTTGTTGTTGTTTCTGTGCATGGCTTTGGTGTTGTCGTGCACGGCTTTGGTGTTGTTGTTGTTTCTGTGCATGGCTTTGGTGTTGTTGTGCATGGCTCTGGTGTTGTTGTTGTTTCTGTGCATGGCTCGGGTGTTGTTGTTGGTTCCGTGCATCCACACGCCAATCCAGTGGCCAGATCGGCCAAGCTGATGAGCAGGATGCTCGCTGTAAAATGAAAGGAAGATTAAAGTCGAACTCCGAACCGATCCCCAGGATAGGGATCGACACTACCCACCAATGGCGCATGCAACGGTGGTCTTCATGTCGGTAACTCTTTCGTGAATTGGATGAACTTCTTCCGAAGATGTTAAGCCACAAACTGATGCCTTTCTTGGGGCAGGCTTGCGCTTTTATAGGCGCCTTCCACCGTCCAGCATGGGGGTCCACGTATAATTTCAGTGCCGTTTACACAGCAACTTTATAAAAATGGATCAAAAACCATTTGTCTCTAGAGCAAATAAACCCGAACTCCGTCTAAAAAGCCTAAACGGCGGCGGTTAAGGCTAAGAATAGCGAAACGTGCCGGCATTTCGCTGGCTGGATCGCTGGGTGTGTGTCGGGCGCGTGTGTCGCCCAAGTTCAAGGTTCTTTCCTGGCCATGCATGGGGTGCATGGGGTGCTTGGAAAGTGGCATCCCAATCCGCGCCCTAGATGCCAGGTGGCAACGCTTCTGGCGGGAAACAGCGTGCTGCCACGTCGATTAATGCTTCGATAACTAAATCGTTCTATTATATCATTCACATTCCTCAGTAACGATTCCACACAGATCTTCGACATAGATTCATTATTACAAGATCCACTGGTCCTTCAGTTTCGAGATATTTTAATCTACGCTAAGAACCCCAGCCCCAGCCCCTGCCCTTGCCCTTGCCCTTGCCTTCGTCACTCTCCGATTTCTTTGTTTGAATTTGTAGCCGAATCTCCACGCGAATCTTGAGCACTCGAGAGAGTGCCACCCTTTGGGCATTTGAGGCGAGTCACTTGGGGCATCTGGTTCGCGATCGGTTCGGTTCGCTTCGGTTCGGTTCAGTTGGGGTTTGGAACTGTGGCTCAGTGCTCTGTTGTGTGCTTTGTGTTTGCAGGACGCAAGATGACCAAAGCAATGTAACCAAACCAAAAAATGAAAGAAACTCTAAGCTCAAAGGTGCCAACAACACGAATAGTGGGAGTAACATTCGATTCCGTATCGGAATCAAAGTCAAAGCTAAAGAGTGGTTCGGTCCAAGGGGCAACAACTACTGCAACAGCAACGGCAACAGCAACAGCAACAGCAACAGGGCCACCGTCACCGCCCTCCTCCTATGTGATTAAATGTCTATTGAAAACGGCGCGTTTTATGTGGCAAGTGACAACAATACCCGCCAAAATCGGTGATACCCTGGGCACCCTGTACCGCTATGCGCAGGACTCTGTCGACACCTTTCTCTGCGTAGCTGGGTGAGAGTCCACACAACAGAACAGAACACTCTGAACAATGAACCCCCTACCCCCCCCCCCAAGGGATCCACAAAACTAATTGAAAATCTCTCTCTTGTGTCCTTACAGCAAGGCCCGTCGCAAAGAACGCGATGGCGATCAAAATTCAACAGACACCAAACTGTATTTGGAGGAGAGTGTCCTAGAACGTAAATTACCTGAAGCTGATCTCAAAGCCTTGGTGGATCTACCCGCAGGCTTGGACTACAATGAATGGCTGGCGTCACACAGTAAGTACTCCACCCCCGTCCGTATATACTATTCATTACTCAGTATTCATTATTCATCATTCAAGCAACGGCTCGGCTCGCTGGCTTTAGTGTTCGTTTTTATTCACGTGATTTTTACCCTAGCAGAGAAATAGCCACCCACTAAGCATCTTGGAATTGATTCTCCCCTACTTCATAGGAGACCATGGCTTATGGTGTCCTCTTTTCATATGGTTTAAGTACGCGACGAGGAGAAGATTCGTTGCGGAGGTTTAAGTATGCTCCGAAGGTGGGAAGGAATCGGGAGGCTTTAAGTATGCTCCGAAGGTGGGAAGGAATCGGGAGGCTTTAAGTATGCTCCGAAGGTTGGAAGGAAGGAAGGAGAAGCAGACGAGTGAGATTCTACCTTTTCAAAACATGGCTGTGGTGGACTCATGGGCTTTCCGAGTAGGACTGCGATTATAAACTGAGCTCTGGCAGATAAATGCCACTTCAGGAACAGATCCTAATCTCGTTCCGAGCCGATGAGCGTTCAATGGCCCTGGTGGTGTCTCAATTTCTGATAGTTGCACTTTTCCTGATGCGCAACGCATACGCATTTGACTCTTTGTCTGGCATTCTTTGTCCATAGCACCAATCAGCACTTTCGGATGAGCGGCATATTCAATATTTGGTCTGGATTCGAATACGAGACAAAGAAACGAAGCGCAACAAGCGCCTACAAGTAGATCGGAGATGTGTGGATAGTTGAGATCCATATAAAGGAGGAGTTCAACCACAAACAGCGTGAGACGAGAATTTCCAGGATTGTTTTTCGAATGATTTGCCTTGATTTCTATGGAATTTCTTTTCAAAAAGGGTATCTAGCAAGTGTTCAAGCCCCGCAGCTGCAAAGTTTGCAATCTTTTGTTGTTTTCGAATTGGCTTTGATTTATTCACGTCTACCATTTGGCATTTGGCTGCGCTATTAGGCGGCTATTGTTGCCCCAGCTTTATCGTGTGATTTATAAATGAGTTTAACGAGCCACAGTCCCACAGTCCCACAGCCAGAGGCACAGGCACAGCCGTAGCCAGAGCGCGTCAGCTGCTGGGCAAAAGTTTGATAGCCGCCATCTAATCGCCATTCAGTAGCGTTTTCGGACCTTGGCCGTCGGCAGAGATGGGGAGGGGGTGGTACGGGAGTGCAGCGATAGAGGCCTCCTATCGATCGCTGCGCATTGAACCTGAAGCCAGTCTGTGGCCGATAGCAAGATCTGTTTGGAGATCTGGGAGACCGCAGGACAGAAAATAGCCCTTGGGTGCTCTCCATTTGACCTGTGTTTCCCGTTGGGCGATTGTTCTGCCACAGAAGGACGCCTCAATGGATTACACGGAATCCACGAAGACTCTTTGAACCCCTCTATCTGTCGCTCTGTATGAATAAATAATTAAGTATCTAATCTGTTGTCCCCCTGCTGTGAGTCACATATTAATTAACTCTACAGCCGCCACCCGCAGGGAAGGAGGAGCAGCCTTATTTGTTTGCCTTTGCCATTGAACGCGAATCGATATTTGAGAAATTACATCATCCTGTAAATAATCTCTTTTTTTGTTTGCTGCCTGCTGCTGCTGCTGCTGGGTGGGCAAATTACACGGTTCTTTGTTGCCAGCAAAATGAGGCGGCTAATTGGCAATGTGTCAGCAAATTGTAGCTTCCACAAACACCCGAAGGCACCCACCAGCACCACACTCATCCCTCCACTGCCTTCATTCATGCCATAATCATTCTCCATTCATTCTTTCATTCTGCACTTATCCTTCATTCATTCAGTCATTCTTTCATCCATCTATCCTCCATATCCCCACGCTCGATGATGTCTTTATTGTGGAACGATTTCTGCAGAGAAAAATAAACAGCTTTGAAGCTTTGGCTTGCCTTGACGATCAATCATCGCTATGATATACCCTCTCCCAGGGTATATATAGGGTATTGGCAACGCATCAAAGGCCAAAGGGGTTCTGTCGTGGGCGCTGGATCTCAGGGTCAGGGTCAGGGTCAGGGTCAGAGTGAGGGGGTGTCCACTGCAAGTTCATATCCACATCCACTATTCGAAAGATTGCTGACTTTACAGAGACTGCCCTGCCTCTGCCTCTGCGCCTGCCCCTGCCACAAGCGCTTATCTTGCAGCACATAATTTGTGTTTGTTCTGCCTCTGTGCCGCTGTGCCTCTGGCCATTTCATAATGCAACAACTCGGAATGACGTAATGCCTGCCCTGCCAGTTGTGCAAATATTGGACTTGGCATTGACCTCACTGGGGAGACCTCCTTCGATGTCACCGCCAAAGCAGTGAAAGAAACTCCGACTAAGAACTGCTTGGAGTACGTCCTCTCTACCGTTAATGATAAGAGATATTACTACAGTACTTTAGGCACTATCTGTGGGCCTTCCATCGCTGAAATTTAGGGAGTTGTGAAACTCTAGCTATATCTAGTGCTCCCGACTCCTCTTTTGTGCAGGGAAGATACCCTTCCCCAAGATTCCTTTCACATAATCATACCTCATATTAAGGATAACCTTTTCTAGTCTGCCAAATCCATAATCTCACTCTCTCTCTCTCGTTCTCTCTTGCAGCCCTGGCTCTCTTCGAGCATGTAAATCTGGTATATGGAACTATTAGTGAATTTTGTACACAATCCGGTTGCGCAGACATGACTGGACCTGGCAACAGGTAAGCCTTCAACACCCCTTCGTGATTGAATGGAAAACTAATACGGCTTTTATCTCCGAACAGAACGTACTTATGGTTCGACGAGAAGGGCAAGAAGACGCGCGTGGCGGCGCCCCAGTACATCGACTACGTGATGACGTTCACGCAGAAGACGGTCAGCGATGAGTCGATATTCCCAACCAAATACGCGAACGAGTTCCCCGGCTCGTTCGAGTCGATCGCGCGGAAGATCCTACGCTTGCAATTCCATGTGATAGCGCATCTGTATGCGGCGCATTTCCGAGAAATCGCGCTGCTCGGCTTGCACACCCATCTAAATCTGACCTTTGCGCACCTCACCGCTCTGCATCGGCGCTTCAACCTGATCGACGAGAAGGAGACGGATGTGCTGCGCGATCTGGAGGTTGCATTGCGCCTAACCGACGACACCAGCGGCCAGGATTCGTCCTCGTCGGTGCACGAGCACTCCTCCTCCTCATCCTCGCCGCCAGTCGTCGCAGCCACAGCAACAGCCGCTGGTGCCTCCGGCTGCACCGATCAGCATCAGCAGCATCAACATCAGCAGCAGCACAACAATAGCAGCAGCACCAGCAACAGCACCTCCCCCGCGGAGGCGCTGCACGTCAATTCACAAAGCAACAGCCACAGCAACAGCAGCAACAGCCACACCACAACCGCCTCGGCGTCAGCCTCCCTCATCGACGGGGACTCTGCGGCGCCGCCCATCTGCACCCAGCCGGAGGCGGGAGCGGGCTGCAAGCCGGCCGGCAGCGGTGGCCTGCTGGGCGGCATACTGGGCGACCTGACCAGCGGCGAATTCGGTGATACTACGCGGTACTGCACCTCGGCGGTTCCACAGGCGGCGGCGTCGTCGTCAGCGTCTGCGGCGGGACCAGGAGCGGACGGCGCTGCCTCAGCGGCCCTGAACAATGGCGCGGGCGCACTACATTTAAACTTTAGCAACAATAATAACAATAACCACAATCTGAACCACTTGAACCATCACCACCACCATCACCACCACCAGCACCATCACCAGCACCACCCACACGGGCATCACGGCCACCAGGGCCACCAAGGCCACCAGGGGCATCATCAGGCGCCGGCGTCCACAACTGTGCCGCACAGTGGCCTCATACAGTGCAATGCGGCGGGCGCTGTGGGTGCGTCCGCAGGCGGTGGTGGCAATGCGGTGAGTGCCGCCACCGGGGGTGCCACATCCGCGTCCTCAACGGCATAGGGAGCAGCAAAACGGCAAGCAGCAAAACAGCACCAGCGGCAGCAGCAGCAGCAGCAGCAGCGGCAGCGGCAGCCACAAAAACAACAACAAAAAACATTAGAAATACTAGAATTACGCAAAAATGTTATTTAATGTTACTTCTATGATCCTAAAGTTGAAAATATTGTAAAAATAATAAAAAAAAATCAAACAAAAAACCGAAAAAAAGAGAAAACAAAAAACGTAAACTCAAAGAAAGAGCCACAATTATGCAAACACAAACGAGAGAGAGAGAGAGAGAGAGAGAGATGTAGAGAGAGATGAATATTGTGAGACATTATTATAAAGCCGCAAAGTGTTGGCATCCGTAGTTCCGTAAGCCGGGTAGCACGTTGATCTAGATATGTACGATATACCCTACTGTATAGAAAGAGCTGCAAGCAAGCATAGTGTTTAGAGAGTTGTCGCAGTTGAGCCTCCTCGCTTCTGCTTCTGATAGTATTTTAGCCGTCAACCTACTTCTTCGAGTCGCAAAAACCAAACAAAAAAACAAAAAACAACAAGCCTTCAAGGCAGCAAAAAAGGGCGCCCCCCAGAGCCGCAAATAAACCTATTTAAAAACGAGAGTCCAATGGAAAATGTATAAAAAGCCCGAAACGGAAAACGTACTATATCCAACTCCAAACCAAAACCAAAAATCCAAAAATCCATAACTTTTAATGATGTTTCTCTGGATGCCTCTGATTTCCTAGATTCCGTAGGGGAATCATCCACCCGCTTAAGATAGACGATAGAAGGGAAAGGATTTTACAAGGACATACACTGAATTTTAAATAATAATAGGCTCTCAACCCAAGTATTTAACCAATGTTCTAGAATGTTTAAGTATGCGTTAAATTGTTTGAAATTCTTTTCGCTAGAGAACTGAATTCGCATCGTGTGATAGAGTAGTGCACACTGCTCGTGGCAAATAGAGATTGTAATTCTTTCTGTCCCATCTGTTGATCGATTTTTCAAAAATATACACATGCATATGTATGTACGAGTATGTCCGCGATTCTCCACCATTTTCCAACGAACGATGCAACATTTCTCTATGTACTTTAAACGACTTTACTGCTGATATCTGATCGGGAGGAAATAAATAAACACAAACAAAGTATGGCACGTATGTATTCCACACGTATGTATGTATCCACTTACATGCATTCCACTTAACGACGCGAGCCGCAGAGCATGCACCAAAGATTCACCGTTCACCGTTCACCGACTCGGCGCGGCCGCCTACAAGTATGCACGAAATATTTTACCCAAAAACACACACACACACAAGCAGCTGATGATACTTGTATGTTGTATAGTATTGTGTTGTGTTGTGTTGTGTTGGTCGTCCCTTCCTGTCTCCCCACCCCCCACCCCACCCACTACCATCCCCAACAAAGAACGAATGGCAATGTAAAACGATTACTTTACAAGAAAAACACAAATGTTCGGTATAGAATCTTAGAAGCTAAACAGACATAAGCGTGTTACTATGGTTCCACCTCTCCCGATGTAGATAACAACACACTCTCCACAGAAACTAAAAACTGTCCACTGAAATGACCACAAACTTTCGATCTGTCGAACTCAAACACACACACACACACACACACAAACACACACACGCACTCACAGATGATGTACATGTATGTGAGTTATCAATAGAACACAGGTGCAAAAGCAGATGCAATGCACGGAAGGAACGAAAGCAAACGCAAACGCAAACGCAAAAGCAACCAAAAACGAATGCAAAAGCTAAAGAGAGCATAAAGGAAGATAATAAAATATGTAAACTGTTATGTTCAATTTAAGCACATTGTTTTACTGCTGATAAGACCACCTTTCGATACACTTGCAGATCGGTGGGGCCCGATGCCTACCTTTCGATACAATTGCAGATCGGTGGGGCCCGATGCCTACCTTTCGATACAATTGCAGATCGGTGGGCCCAATGGTCATCGATCCATGACAGAAGTGATCGCTTATTGTGCGGGAATGCGGGCACATATCCCTACTAAACATACATTTGTAGGTAATGCAACTTAAGGAAAGAGGGACCATGCCCGTTCATGGAACATTTGGATCTTGAAAACACCATCTCACACGCCCACAAACAAGTGACAGAACCACAAACTTTGGAAGAGAGAGAGAAGACAAACAGCAAATATGAGCCAGCACTGGCAAAAGTAGTTGAAGAGAGAGTGGAAAAGGCACCTGAGAAGAGGAGCAGGCGAACATGGAATGAGCGCACGCTTGTACCACACTTGCATTCATTTTTTCACCCGGTGGTCCATGACGAAGTTGTACAAGGTGGTCCGCTTACTCTCTTGCGGGTCTTATTTTTAAACATTAAAGAAAACAATAATGCGGTCGAAATCATAGTCCAAGACGCGCACCGTCTCCGAAAAACGCATGGGAGGGAGCTGTCCCACAATCACAGCCGGGATTAGCACTGGCACACTGGCGGTCCTGCACTCATGGTTGTGCACAGTGTTGATCAGCTCCTGGCAGAGATGCTCCCTGGATGGAGTGGATGGATGAGTCCCTGGAATCCACGTGTGGATTGCATGAGGTTTGAACTGTATCCATGGGCTATAAATGGACGAAACATTTGTCGATAATACAAATAAAAACTTTAACTCCACTTTTTCGATTTTTTAGGATCGTTCGGTTGGTTAATTATAGAAAAATATGCAGGCATTACTGGAACAGAAGGAACAGCAGAAGGCATCCAGTAAATGTTGCTAAAGATAGTGTTATTTCTAAAAAAAAATGTATTCATAAATGCATGTCAGTATGTGTGTACATATCCATGGTATATGATATATGGTTTACGTTTAGGTTTGGTCTAGGAGATCATAACAGATCACACATTCTTGTCCTCCAAGGCGGGGTTCCGATCTTCAATGCTGCCTCCAATGTACCATTCATCTTTCTGTGTATTTCCACTGAGAATCTTTAGAGAAGTGCTATCTGCTATGTACGATGTTCTATTGTGATCTCAGACGATTACTAGTCCTTCATTGGCCACAACCATCAGAATACAATAAATGAACAAATGAATACTGTCTCGATGAGGAATACCTGCATAGTGCACTACAGACAGAAGTAAGTATTTCCAATCCCAATCTTGTGTGCAGCACACGCATCTGATCCATTCGACATTACCCTGCCCTCTTCAAGGGTATGATAAGCAGACAGTCACCAAGACCCGAGACTGCCAAACCGAAACCTGTTTACACATTAGAAATGCTGATAAATAATACGAGTGCGAGTGCGAGTTCCCAGGGCAGGGCGCCGCAGTCCAGAATCTCTTATCAACACTGCGGCACTGCTCCGGATATTCACGGCTGTGTTTACACTGGCCACACACACGCACACATGCACGTTGTGCCGGCAATTGCATTCCAGGCACCAGTCCAGTCGCTCCCACTGGAAGCCGGGCTTCGGCTTCGGCGTCGGCTTCCAGCTCCACTATAAGCGATGGATCTGAGAGAGTCTCGGCTCAGTAGAGCTCCGAGCGTCCAACAGAGCAGAGCCGAGCAGATCAGAACAGATCCGGTGATTAAGTGGAGAAATGGGGCTTGTAACACGATTTGGATTCCCCGTTTGGATGGTGGTCGTGGGGCTGGGGCTGGTTGCATGGCGATCGGATGCGGCGCAAGGGATGGCCCCGCGGACCCGCTACGAGCCGAATTGGGCCAGTCTGGACCAGCGGCCCCTGCCCCGTTGGTATGATGAGGCCAAAGTGGGCATTTTTTTGCACTACGGCGTATATTCGGTGCCGAGCTTCGGCTCCGAATGGTTCTGGCATAATTGGTTAAGTGAGTACGACACACATTGCTCTCGTATTGTAGTGCTATGGAGAGGCTGGAATCTCTGACTGTATTCCAGATCTGCGCACACCGGAGTACATACAATTCATGCAGCGCAATTACAAGCCGGACTTCACTTATCAGGAATTCGCAGACGAATTCACAGCGGAGCTATTCAATGCCACACAATGGGCGTTGCTGTTCAAAGATAGCGGAGCCAGGTATACGCATGCATACTCTCTGCTGAGTGTTCAGTCGGAAAGTACTTATCCCTCTGCATCTCTAGATACGTTGTGCTCACCAGCAAGCATCACGATGGCTTCACCCTGTGGCCCTCGAAGCACAGCTTCAGCTGGAACTCCATGGATGTGGGCCCCAAGCGCGATATAGTCAGTAAGTGTTCGGTTGGGGTTTAGAGGGAGGCATAGATTCAGATATATACCGCCCTCCACAGAGGAACTTGCGGCGGCCGTTCGCGGTGTTTCGGATCTGAAGTTCGGCCTGTACTATTCCCTCTTCGAGTGGTTCAACCGCCTGTGGATCGACGACAAGTTGCATCTCTTGATGCAGCAGCATTTCGTGGACCAGAAGGTGCGGCCCGAGCAGTTGGATCTGGTGCAGGAGTATCTGCCGGAGATCATTTGGTCCGACGGCGACTGGGAGGCCCCGGCCAAATACTGGAAGTCCGAGCAGTTCATTGCCTGGCTCTACAACGACAGTCCCGTGCGGGACACAGTCGTGACAAACGATCGCTGGGGGATGGGCACGGCCTGCAAGCACGGAGACTTCTACAACTGCGCGGATCGGTTCAATCCGGGCGTGCTGCAGTCCCACAAATGGGAGAATGCCTTCACCCTGGAGCGCAGCAGCTGGGGCCAACGCTTCGACGTCAGTCTGTCCAACTTCATGAGCACCAAGGATCTTATAAAGGGTGTGTAGAGGGGACCGTATCCGGAATCAGTCACGCATTTCGTATGTTGCAGAGATCGTCACCACTGTGAGCTGCAACGGCAACGTCCTGATCAACGTGGGACCCACCAAATATGGCACCATCCTGCCGATATTTGAGGAGCGCCTGCGCGACATGGGTCGCTGGCTAAAGATCAACGGCGAGGGCATCTATGGCAGCGTGCCATGGATCTACCAGAACGACACCGAGACGCCAAACGTGTGGTACACCCGTGGCCAGCAGGCTGAGTCCAATAGCAGCATCGCCATCTACGCCTTTGTACTGGACTATCCGTACGACACCAACGAATTGGACATCCATCCGCTGGGCAAGGAGGTCACCATATCCCGGAATGTCCACTTAACCGGCCTCGACTTTGGCACTAACGGGGAGGTCCTGACCAAACAGACCACCAAAGTTGTCATGCTGGGCATGGGGAACACCAAAGTTCAGGTATGGATGCATCTATTGAGGCTTCTCGGACAGTGCTCTAACAATATTCCCCACCTGCAGTGGACCTCGAGCCATAACAAGCTGCACATCAAGTTTCCCCCGAAGAACCACATGGATAAGCGGGGCCTTGACTACGCCTGGACATTGAAGATAACCATAACATAAGCTTAAAGAACGATCTGTAAGATGACACTTTGTTTTTAATTTGATATGTATTTTAGCTCGATCAGCATTAACCGAATAAACAACCTTGGGACTTGTTTGTTTTCCTCTATGAAGAACGTATGCCAATTACTTTGAAAACCATATGAGTATCAATAGACCACAGCTGTTTTATTGCTGACAAGACAAGCATTGGATACTTTCCATCCATCGTTCCATGACAGCTTTCTGATACAGTCATAGGCCTATCATAGAATGCTGGCGCAAGTCCATTCATTGGACTGAAGAAAGATTTGGATCTCAGATGGGAGATGACAACATCTCCATGTTACTCTAACTGGCACATCGGTAGTTCCCTATGGCACCCCATACGATCGACAACACCATTTTCCAGTCGGTCATTAATGAAAAAATCACTCGATATTTGCAACAGGATGAACGATTGGAAGGCGACCGAAGACAGCTTTCCGCACGGGTTTATTATTATTATTATAAAAAGTCAACTTAAACAACATGAATTGATGAAAACATAACAATTGGGTCGAAATCATAGTCCAGGGCGAGCGCCGTCCCCGCCAAAGGCCTGGCAGGGATCGAATCACAAATCACACATCACAACCGGGAGTAGGGTGTAAGGCTGGTCCACCTTACAACGTCCAATCCTTTTGACCGCACACGCACTGGCGGATCTTGCGCTCAAGGGTGCGCACAGTGTTGATCAGCTCCTGGCAGAGCTTCTCCTGGGATGGGCATCCCCGGCAAGCATCACCACCAGGACCGCAGGAGCCGCATGAAGGCCTCTTGGTGGTTGTTGCCGGCTTGGTGGGTTTTGTCGGCTTGGTGGGTTTTGTCGGCTTGGTGGGTTTTGTCGGCTTGGTGGGTTTTGTCGGCTTGGTGGGTTCTGTCGGCTTGGTGGGTTTTGTCGGCTTGGTGGGTTCTGTCGGCTTGGTGGGTTTTGCAGTGCTGCAAGTCGTTGTTGGCTTGGGAGTTGTTGGCTTAGGAGTTGTTGGCTTGGGAGTTGTTGGCTTGGGAGTTGTTGGCTTGGGAGTTGTTGGCTTGGGAGTTGTTGGCTTGGGAGTTGTTGGCTTGGGAGTTGTTGGCTTGGGAGTTGTTGGAGAGCATGGCGTTGGTGTTGTCGTGCATGGCTTTGGTGTTGTTGGTTCCGTGCATCCACACGACGAGCCAGTGGCAAGATCGGCCAAGCTGATGAGCAGGATGCTCGCTGCGGATGGAGTGGCATGGAAAGGATAAAGAATGAAGTGATTCAAGGAGATTAACAACCGATCCTTTGGGGGATCGGATCTACTTACCGATGATGGCAATGGTCAGCTTCATTCTAGTGCTTAAATTGACTTGTCAGGTGAGGAGGTGCCACGAACTGATGCCTTCCTTGGTGGAGTCTTCCCCTTTTATAGGTACCTTCCCGTGCAATGCCAGATCCACGTATGGATTGCATGAACTTTGAACAGTATCCATGGGCTAAAATTAAACGGACCATTTGTCGATAATGCAAATAAAAACTTGAACTCCACTTCGTTCGATATTTTGGGATCGTTCGGTTGGTTAATTATAGAAAAATGTGCAGGCATTACTGGAACAGAAGGAACAGCAGAAGGCATACAGTATTTGTGTACATATCCATGGTATATGGTTTAGTCTTAGGAGACAACTAGGAGATCATAACAGATCAAACATTCTTGTCCTCCAAGGCGGGCTTCCCATCTTCACTGCCGCCTCCGATGGTGGGGAACGGAACGGGGCCACCTGGATGGAGGGAGCTACAGCACATTCGATTACTTCGTAGCTACGTACGTAGATTCTTTAGAGATGTGCTAGAGGAATACCTTCATAGTGCACTACAGACAGAAGTAAGTATTTCCGACCCCAGTACCAGACTCTTACGTAGACTAGACAAGCTCCACAGAGCGGACCTGCCCAACAGGAGGACCTAGGATGGACATAAGCCCTGAGGACCTGACGAGATAAAGACCCTGGGCCATTATGGAAGGGGTTTAACAGTTGCAATGCATGATGTTATCGTATATTGTTATTCGTGTTACTTGTTATTAATGATAAACGAATCCTACAATTAAAAAACGTGACGAACCTCTCCGGAGACCGGAGAAAAGAGTCCTTCAGTCATACAATAGTGCCTCATGATCTGCCCCATAAGAGAAGACTATGCGACGGACCTTATGGGACGGAAGATGTGTTCTCGTGTGCAGCACAAGCATCTGATCCATTCGACATTACCCTACCCTCTTCAAGGGTATGATTAGCAGACAGTCACCAAGACCCGAGACTGCCAAACCGAAACCTGTTTACACATTAGAAATGCTGATAAATAATACGAATACGAGTGCGAGTGCGAGTTCCCAGGGCAGGGCGCCGCAGTCCAGAATCTCTTATCAACATTGCGGCACTGCTCCGGATATTCACGGCTGTGTTTACACTGGCCACACACACGCTCACATGCACGTTGTGCCGGCAATTGCATTCCAGGCACCAGTCCAGTCGCTGCCACTGGAAGCCGGGCTTCCAGCTCCAATATAGGCGATGAATCTGAGCGGCTCTCGGCTCAGTAGAGCTGACATTCAAGGTCATCATAGTCTTAAGAGAAAGATGGATCTGTGCATTAGAGCCGATTGATAGGAAGTACATACTCTCGCAGGTATATATTATGTCTTTATTTAAGCTTGTCTCAATTCACTCCATTGGGCTGCCTCTCATTGGTGGGCTATGATACAAATGGGACTGGGGGGCTAGGGATGGGTCTTTGGGTCCGGGCCGGAAGCTCCCTCCGACTTGGGCAGGGCGCTGCCGCTGCCGCTGCCGCTGCCGCTGCCCGCAGGCCTGTGCTTGTGGGAGGCGAGCTGTGCCCGGGAGAGGACGCTGCAGTTGCAGGTGACGCAGTGGTAGTGGGTGTGACGCAGCGCGTAGGAACAGGCCGGGGAGTTGCAGGACTCGTTGCTGGTAACCTTGCGGAAGCCCGCGGAGCGGACGTAGTCCAGGCGCAGGTGCAGACGTCGGTGGGCCACCACCTTGTTGGAGTCCGTGCAGACGTAGTCGCACTTGCGGCAGTGGAAGTGCGAAGTCTTCTTTAGGGCTGCTCCTCCTGCTCCTGGGGACTCTACAGAGGAGGGGTTTGGGGTTAGTCGGAGTTCAGGTCTCTGATGGAGGGACACGTACCTCTGCGCTGCCGGGAGGCGGGAGTCTCTTCGGGACAGCCGGAGGCATAGCAACAGCTGGCCACGCCGCACCGCATGTTGGCCCGAAACTGCTGGAAATCGTCGCCCATCAGCGTGTCCATGCGATCGTGCCGCGCCGTGTGCTGCACGAAGCGGGTCTTGTCGCAGAAGCTGTAGTGGCAGTCGCGCCGGTTGCAGTGGAAGTGCGACTGGTGGTTCCTGTAGCCGCACCGATCGAAGCCGCAGTCCTCGTTGAACCGGAACTTCAGGTATCCGCTGGGAATGTCGTGATCTCGCGCCCGCTTCGTGGGCGGCCGAGGCGTCTCTGTCACCGTTGTCGTCGCCGGAGAGCTCATTCCCAGCGTTGGATGCTCTGCCCCCGCCGTGGCTGCCACCGCCGCCGCCGCACTGGCAGCGGCCGCATTGATGAGCATCAGCTTCTGTTGGGCGGCGCTTTCGAGCAGCAGGCGCATGTCCAGAGCCGGCATCGGCTGGCTGGCCGCGGCCAGGAAGCTGGGCAGGAGCACCTGCCTCTGGTACAGGTCGATCAGCTGTTTGAACTGCAGCAGATTCAGATTCAGACCCGATCCTGACCCCGACCCCGCCGGCTGTTCGCCCAGCGCTGGCGCTGCTCCACCGGCAGTGGCCTCGGGCTGGCTTGGACGCATGCGCATGCTCAGATCTTCGGGCTGGTCCACCTCCAAGTCCGTTGCCTGCGGGCTGCTGCTGCTGCCCCTCTTCTGGCGATCAATCCTATCCGCCACTTCGGGCTGGTGAGCGGTGCAGGCATTCTCCGGGTAGAAAGTTCCTGCTGCACGGACAACTGGAATGGTGGATGGTGACAGCAAAAGGTACACCCCACGGACGGATCTACTTACCGGAAATCCTCTCCGGAATTCTTCCAGAGATGTTATTTGATGATGCTGTATCTGTAGAGTGTGAAGTTGGCTGAAAAGATGCCACATCGACTCGGATTCATGGGGACTGCTTATGGGGACTTTGTATAGCAATCTCTTACCTGGGGTGAAGCTTCCTTGGGGCTCAGGGCCGTGCGGGCGCCTTGGAAGGCGCTCCGTTTGTTCGTCTCCGCCGCCGGGTATGTCGCCCACACGCGACTCCGCTTCCGGCTCCGACTAGGGGTGAGATCTGTGGCTGTTGCTACCTGTTCCGTCCTCTCTCCGCTTTCGCTCAATGGGGCACTGGAGGCACTGGAGGCACTTGAGGCAGGAGCAGGCCCAGGCCCAGGCCCAGTCCCAGGCGCACTTGAGTGCTCATTTCTTTCCAATTTAAAGCTGGTGAAGATGGCCTGGGGCGAATGCTGAGCCTGCTGGCAACAGAAAGAGGTCTTTAATGGGTTTTTCAATCAACCAATTCCTACCAATATTTCCCAAAACGGCATGGAATTATTCCCGGATCACCCCCCTACGTTGTCATAGTTTTTGGTTTTCGGTTTTCGGTTTTTGGTTGTTCAGATTTTGGATTTATGACAAACGGTGCGCCCGCAACCAGTTTATTATTTCCGAAATTACTGTTAATGTTTTGTCGTTGGCCCAAAATGTCACTATTTGAATTTTGTTCACGCATCAAATCAATAATAAAGCGAAAAAGAGAGAGAGAAAGAACGAGCGAGACGTGAATAAGCCAACAGCCGAGGAGAAACCACAAACAAAACTATATACAAGCCAGCAAAATGCCATGGAATGTCCCAGCCGATGGATACCCTAACCGTAAATGGGCTTACGAAAGTCCCCCAAAAGGCAGCGGTGGTGGGTGCTTGAGTGCAGTGCATTGAGGACCGCAGAGGGGATTCCAGAGATCTCTAGGAGTACTAGGGGGCCTGGGAGAATGATGAATCGAGATATCAAGATACTCCTTCAGGCAGGAAGACCTTTCGCTTGTAGAGTATGAGCACTCTGGTACTCTCATGCCTCATGCCTCATGTCTCATGGCTCGTAATAATAATTACACCGAAAACATTGAAAGACAATGAAACGAGTTTGCTTTTGGCTCTTTGCCTCTGATGTGCCCCTTTGCCACAACCACATCCACTGGCACCTATAGGTGTACGCACACCTTATTTGATTAAATACGCTACAAGTGTGTCTATAGGGAATTATTATTATTATAATTATTGGTGCGCTGTTGTCGTACTTATCGTTCCTTTCAATTGCCATGAGAGAGTGAGAGAGGGAGAGAGATTATCGCCACTTCCACCTAGCCCTTGCACATGCACAGATTCCATTCTCTTCCCCGTCCCCGATTTGGGTCAGGCATTATACGTGGATCCGCAGCGAGCGGCAGGCGGTGGGGGCTTATTTCCCAAAAGAATGCCGCAAATGGCAATGGACAAAATATTTATTCAAATGTGATTGTTTATCCACACAGAGCACAGAGCACAGCACAGCACAGCACAGACACCAATCCAATGGGTCCGTCCGTCGCCAAGGAGAGTGACGCGTGGGCTGCGGGTAATCGTAAGCACACAAGTGCGCACCGCAAGGTAGTGGTGGTGCGGCATGGTATGGCATGGTGGTGCGTGTGTGCTCGGATCGGTTTGGATCGAAAAAATGTAGAAATTATGAAAATGACAGTTAAAAGCACAAAACGTTCGGCCGACGCCAGACGGGCGTAAATGAAATAAATGCGGAAACACTCGTTGTCAATATTAATATGACGAATATGGCAAAAACCAAATCCGAACACTCGCACCGCACCGCACAGCACACAAAATGCCGCATTAGGGCCCCAACGATAAGAGACGAGGCGGAACGTGTGAGGGGGGAGGGAGGAGGCGGCCACAGGGCCAAGCGGCCGCAAATAGGCGCAAATTCCACACTGCAATCGGGGCCCCCAGACATAGGCCAAAAAGGAGCCAGGCCAGAGCCCGGAACTGGGTCAAATCACGGCCCAAAGTCCCCGATCTACTTACGCTCTTGTAGACCTCCACAAAACGGTTCTTGGGCGGACGGCCCCGTTTCCGATTGAAGAACCCATCGATGGAGGTGATTTGGGTGGCCTGGGTCGCCAGGGTCGCCTGAATCGCCTGGTTGGTGGTGTTCAGGTCGCCGGGTGCATCCACATCCCCTCCTGGGGCGGCTCCTGACTCCATATGGCGTGATCTCCGACAGCTGGCGATGACAAAGAGTTGAGTTTGCAAAATGATACTACGATGGGAATGATAGCCCCGGCACCGACACCGACGACGACGACGACACCGACACACACACACACAAACACATGACTCATTCAATCAACGATTCACTCGCGAGCCACTCAGCAGAAATCAAAGAAATAGCCAGAAAAGGGGCCTTTGACCCGATCGGAGGTCAGGTTTCGGCGCCAGGCCCCTCGGCGTGGCTCAAGTGACCGGCCCTCGCCCTCGCCCTCGGCCTCGCCCTCGGCACCGCCTGCTGCAACTCGTCTTGGCCAAGACCGAGGAGGACCGCACAGCGGTTCCCAGAACACTTTGCATATGGGGCATACGTCGCTGAATATCGATATGGATCGATATTTATTATGCGGGAGTGCGGGTGGCACTCGACTCGTCGTACCTTGCGCCCGCCCCGTTAGCGAATTCCGCGAGAGATCCGTGGCGGATTAATGGCGAAATCCTGCTGCACAATGCCCATCTCTGCAGCAGGTCTTTGGCAGGCGAGCAATGAGGCAGATGCGGGTCCCAGATGGGTGGTCCCACCAATTAGGCCTCGGCCTGCCTCCCACCCCCCTCCCAGCGATTGTCTGTTGGCGATTAGCGTCTTCTTTGGCTTACATGCCGCTCCCTGCCAGTCCTGGGAGATAGACATCTACATGGGGCCTTGGGAGGAGCGGTTTTAGTCATTTAACATCCCATCCAGCCATATCCATATGAGTTACTTGAACTTGTACTCCTCTGCATATCCAATTCAATGGCACTCATTAGTCGCGGCGCGCGGCGTGCGGCAATCGCAGTCGGGCCCACAATTGGAGCCCTGCTGCACAAAAGAGCAGCAGATTCTTCAGATTACCCTTCGATTACCAATAAATGACAGTTTGAAGGCGAGCACCTTTATCGCGATGCCATATCATCCAGACACAGAAACAGAGACACTCACACAATGAAAAAAAAGACACACACACACACACACACACACACGCTCTTGGATAGGACTCCGACTCCATCACCCACCAATTATATGGCCAACTCGAAGGCACCAGCAACACACATTGCCCGCCAGTGAGGAGGGTGTCCTGACAAATCGGTTCTATTGGCGACACGTTGGAGCACTCAATCGTACAGCAAGGGCCGACCTAATCGAATCCAATCCAAACCGAACCGAACCGAGCCGAACCGAATCAAACCAAACCGCGCCGAGACGCGTCTATCATCGCCAAGAAACGCCGATCGAGTGGCGGCCCGACCGGCAAGCCAAGCCGGACCCAAGCGAGTCGGCTCGAGCCGAGCTCAAGCGGGGAACGAAGGCACCCCACGAGCCGCCACCTCCCATGAGTCATGCCGAACCGAGCTCCAAGCCGAATTTCCGATTCGGGCTTGCTTGGGCTCCCAGCGTAAAGAGGATCCTACATAGGCCTTGTACGAAAACTTCATTCGCTGCCAGAGAGCTCAACGAGAACTGATAGATAGGGTCTTTTAAAGTTCAGACAATACTCTATAAATACTGGTGGGTATTGCAGAAAAATAAATAAATAAATTGCTTCGACATCAACTAAACACTAGATATCTTATTTTAACATCTGTAAAAACCTTTAGATATTCTGGTACTTGGTATCCCAAGTAATATGGTATTGAATTCATGAACTTATACGAGTATGTGAAGAAAGCGTAGATCAAGTCATGAATGGAATCTCTAGATATAAGAGTATATTCCAAAGATTGATCTGATTTCATCACAGTTATTTGACAGAATGGTCTACAACGACCCCGCCTACAGAAGAGGACTTCTGAGAAAGCCCACGACCCTTTTTTTTAGTTTACGACAGCGAAATCTTGCAATATTAAGACAGCAATACGCTGTTCAAAGTGTGTAATTTTGGTCAGAAACACGAAGAGGAGTCTATCTGGGGGGACTGTGTGAAGGAGATGATGAAGCTGCTCATTCTTGTTGAGTGCGCCAACACCTTCAATAAGAAACTCGGGAGATCCTTCAGAGAATCATTCATCTCTACGAGTTCAACAAGGATGTGCTTAAAAGCGCCCACTGGCACCTCGAGCTGAGTCGCTTCATCCCCATAGGTATGCCTAACCGACAGACTACAGCTTTCTGAAACTGTCGATCATTCTGCGCAGGCCAGCAGTGAAGATCAAACATCACTCTTATTTCTTCATTTTGCGAGACTATACTATATACCATGGCTATGTACATATGTACGAGCACACTGTTTGTTTTTTAACAATACTATCTTTCCCAACATTTACTGGATGCCTTCTGCTGTTCCTACTGTTCTAGTATTGCATATTTTTCTATAATTAACCAACCGAACGATCCCAAAATATCGAACGAAGTGGAGTTCAAGTTTTTATTTGCATTATCGACAAATGGTCCGTTTAATTTTAGCCCATGGATACTGTTCAAAGTTCATGCAATCCATACGTGGATCTGGCATTGCACGGGAAGGTACCTATAAAAGGGGAAGACTCCACCAAGGAAGGCATCAGTTCGTGGCACCTCCTCACCTGACAAGTCAATTTAAGCACTAGCATGAAGCTGACCATTGCCATCATCGGTAAGTAGATCCGATCCCCCAAAGGATCGGTTGTTAATCTCCTTGAATCACTTCATTCTTTATCCTTCCCATGCCACTCCATCCGCAGCGAGCATCCTGCTCATCAGCTTGGCCGATCTTGCCACTGGCTCGTCGTGTGGATGCACGGAACCAACAACACCAAAGCCATGCACGACAACACCAACGCCATGCTCTCCAACAACTCCCAAGCCAACAACTCCCAAGCCAACAACTCCCAAGCCAACAACTCCCAAGCCAACAACTCCCAAGCCAACAACTCCTAAGCCAACAACTCCCAAGCCAACAACTCCCAAGCCAACAACGACTTGCAGCACTGCAAAACCCACCAAGCCGACAGAACCCACCAAGCCGACAAAACCCACCAAGCCGACAGAACCCACCAAGCCGACAAAACCCACCAAGCCGACAAAACCCACCAAGCCGACAAAACCCACCAAGCCGACAAAACCCACCAAGCCGACAAAACCCACCAAGCCGACAAAACCCACCAAGCCGACAAAACCCACCAAGAGGCCTTCATGCGGCTCCTGCGGTCCTGGTGGTGATGCTTGCCGGGGATGCCCATCCCAGGATAAGCTCTGCCAGGAGCTGATCAACACTGTGCGCACCCTTGAGCGCAAGATCCGCCAGTGCGTGTGCGGTCAAAAGGATTGGACGTTGTAAGGTGGACCAGCCTTACACCCATCTCCTGGTTTTGATGTGTGATTTGTGATTCGATCCCTGCCAGGCCTTTGGCGGGGACGGCGCTCGCCCTGGACTATGATTTCGACCCAATTGTTATGTTTTCATCAATTCATGTTGTTTAAGTTGACTTTTTATAATAATAATAATAAACCCGTGCGGAAAGCTGTCTTCGGTCGCCTTCCAATCGTTCATCCTGTTGCAAAAATTTAAGAAAGTTCGCCTCTATAATCTAACAAAATATAATCATGTATATCGTATACGATGGTTAGTAGATCGGTAGATGAAATCTAGGGGCGGCAAAGAACGATGGAAATTTGTATTTTATCGGCTTCGTTGAAAGTAGTCAGAATGTAGATTTGTGCAACATAGAAATGGGTATCCAAGTATCCAACTATTGAGTGTTTATTCAGAGAACCATTCATGGTATCCCTTGATATTGCATTATTTCTTTAAACGTGGACTCCCATCTGATCGAGGGACTTCAATTGGCCTTGCATGGTTATTCCTGGAATAGTCGGAGGATTCGAATGCGTATACCCAACAGATCTGCCAGCCCCCCCAATTGAGAGAAGAACTACATTTAATTTTTGTCACATTTAAAAAATTTATTTTTTTGTATTGATTTTTGGATGTTTTTTATTCAACTTTTACACAGAGAAAAAAATTAGATTGCAATTTTTGCATTTTGTTTGTTTAATTTGATTAATTAAAATTTGTTAAGTTGCTAGAATTTGTTAAGCGCTACTAAAATTTAAATTTGTTGTTTTTTTCGTCATTACATACATTCATAGTCATATAGGTAGTATATGGTATATATAATATATATATATATTGTTTTCCCATCATTTGCCTGATCATCTGCCTGCCTGGCCGGCGACAATTGTCGCTCCGATACACACATACTCGTACTCGTATCATAATGGAAACGGTTAAACATTACTTAGTCACATAGCTAAAAGGTGTACAACATAGACGACGTAGGCTTTAACTGGCATTACTGGACACTACTACGGTAAACAACGGTACTTTAGAACAACTCATCTTCTGGTCGGGCAGCAGTGGAGGGCCGAAACGAGGCCAGACCTGATCTATTTATTGCATTCCATTCCATTCACTCAATCCGAAAACTGAAACTGAAACTGAAACTGAAATCAAGATGAAACTGAAAGTCTCCGCTCAGATTACACATGGTGGGATAATCGTTTGAATAGAACTTCCTATCGAGAGAGTCGCGGATGGATGCAATTGGAATGCACTTTAAAAATAATTTATATATTTATGTAGTATGTATGTATGTATGTATGTGTTTATGTAGGCATGCATGTACATACATATGTGGTATATGCAGATCTGATGGCCTGCTGTCTGATGGCCTGATGGTTTGATGGTCTGATGGGAGGAGCGTGGAGTGATTCAGTGGAGGCGATCGCTTAATTGATTTGTAATTTGATTCTTGAATTCTTGAATTGGTTCCCTTAAACAACACACACACAGATACGCACATTGATAATATACATGTAGTAGTAATGGTAATCGTAATATTTTTGCTTAGTCGCTAACTCTGTAGTCCGTAATAGAATATGTAAAAATTCTACAATATATAGCCATAAATCTATTGTATATAGAATATTTACTTTCTCTTGCTTATGCGCTTGATACTTGTCACGATTTCGCCTTTGTTTACTTGTTTCTCCAACTTTCTTCATCCTTCATCTCGTCTCTTTCTTCTTTCATCTTTATCATTATTGTTTACAAAATACTTTGAGGAGCACTGGACGTGTCTAAGATTCTTCCTTCTCTCTGCTTACACTTATCCATGAGAACGAAACGAAAACCTCTCTCTCTCTTTCTCCATCTATCTTCCGTAGATAGTACTACGATAAAAAATCCAAACAGAAATCCTATGTCCCTAATTCCGTAACAACATCAAAAGCGTGGCGTTAGCCCTACTACAAAGCCTGTCAACATGGGGTTGGGGTTGGGGATGGGTTTTGAGGATCGGGGAGTTCTACAACTTAAAGGTGTGTGTGTTTTTGTGTGTGTGTGTGTGTGTGTGTCTCTACTGGCTACAACATACAATATATGTGTGTGGGTAATACTCGTGTACTTTGCTTTGATCGAACATAAATCATTGAATAATTGCATATTTTGTGTAGCTTTATCGCTTTCGCTTCTGCTTTTGCTTTTGTAAGTTAAATTTATTTAAGTTTACGTGTTTTATTATTTAATAGATCACATTCATGGTTCTATTTCTTCACTTGCTCTATTTATGTTCACATTTAATTCGTAATACAGTACATATATCGATTGGTTTTCTCTCGCTTTTTTTGTTTTTTGTTTGTATTATGTTTTTTGTTTTGTTTTGTTTTTTTTTTGTGTGTTTGTATTGCTGCTACGGTGGCCCTATTTACATAACACTAGACATATACCTACTTTTGTGTGTGTGTGTGTGTGTGTCGGATGCTCGAAAGGGATTGATTGGATTGGATTGGATTGTTACTTGAGTTTCAGATGGCTAAAACACACATCCATGTTAGCTTTGTGTTATGCCGTGTGTAAAGCAAGATTTTTAAATTAAAAATTGTAATACCTAAATGTTACATATGAGTTCCTCCTTATCTGCTTCGTCTGCTTGTTATCGAGATCTTTGTGGGATTGATTGATAATTATTGATGCATTTGCTCTGATGATTTAGTTTTAGTTTTAGTTTTAAGCTAATCGTAAATTCTCTTCGTTATCTTTTCCTTGCGTGCGTGTGCATGTGTGTGTGTGTGTGTGTGTGTGAGTGTGTCTGTGTCTGTGTGTGGGGATGAGTAAAACTACAATTACAATTGTCGAATACTGGAGGGGGCTGGGGGATCTGTGTTCCAAGATGTTTTGTTTGTTCAGATATTACAGATTACAGATGATGGATTTAGCTCCTTTTCGATTTTCGATTTTCCATTTTCCATTTTCACTTTTCTTCGTTATTCTACGCTAAAAATTATTTTAAAATTTATTAACACAGATGACTTTATATTTTCCGAAAGTTCTCTTCTTTTCTCCTCTATTCCTCCTTTTCCACTTTTGTTACCCATTTTTTTTTTGTCAATAGTTTTTTGTTTGCTTTTTTGCTTCTTTTTTTTTTATAAATAATTTCACTGCTTCGTAATCCAAAAGAACAAAAAAACAATTCGTTTGCCAACTATCTAGCCGAAAGTTATCCATACATGTATACAGGTTAATATCTGGGTGTGTTTGAACCGATATTGATCGCTTCGTCGTGTTGTTTGTTGTTGTTGTTTGTTTGTTGTTGTTGTTGCAATTGGTTTATTAACTATACTACGGATAAACACACAGCTACGCACATTGAATGAATTTTCTGCTGGATTTTCGCCTTTGCTTGTTTAATATTAAAACCTTACACTAGAAACACATCGAATAATATTAGAAATATTGTATCTTCCATATATATCTATATATATTTTTGTTATATGCAGCCCCTCTACGGGGCTGCGATCTCTATAGCAAAGTTTGAAACTCTGCGCGCAAAGAAAAATTAAATTATTATAGTGTTGATTAAAATAATAATACAAAGATTAATCGTAATTGGTGGAAATATTTTTGAGAATTCCAGTTGGTTCTATTGTTGGTTTGGATTTCACTTGTTGTTGTTGTTGTTTGTCTCTCTCTTTCTCTGTCCATCCGATAGATAGATAGATAGATCTGGGGGGGATTTGGATCTGCCACTTGGGCGTCCTTCGGATACTTGTTTGTAATACTCCCCAAACTATGATTTCCGAATCTCTAGTTGGTTTCTGTGTGTACGTGTTTGGGTTCATGTTAAATGTTCGTGTGTTTGTATGCGTTTTTCAATATTCATAATTATTATATAATATCACATCAACTTTGTTTTTTTCATTTGTTATTATGTATTCCTTTTCCTCTTCTTGCTCTGCCCCTCCTCTCCGCGGGGGGCCCCACTGCCTACTGCTTATTGTTGTTTTTCTCTCATTCTGGTTTATAAGGATCGGTCGTCTACCCGTATACGGTTGTCTATCCCACCGGGTTGCATGCCTGAACAATACATCCTGATGATGGCACATCCGTACACCGAATACTCTATGATCCGTCTACGTGTGGGGGGGAGTTTTGTTGCCCTTCCTTATGCTTTTTGTTATGCTCGAAACGGGTCCCCGACAACCGCTCACTGAGTGAAGAAGTTTATTTGTCGCTCGCCCGACATTTTACATTTTACAATATTTTGAATATTTCTTATCGTTTGTGTTTCGCCTTGTATGCGGCCGTTCCTCCTCTTTTTTATAATTTTTCGATTTATATTTTCCAAAAAGTACCTTTTTTTAAGCCAAAAGTCAGTCCAATAAGAGTTTTGAGTTGCCTGCAACTGCAGTTGATTTGTTTGTTGGGTTTTCTTCCTCTAGAGGAGGTTTTCAAAATAATTGTTGGTTAGAGTTGAGTTGTTTTGTTGATTTGTTGCTTGCAGGATTGGTTGATTGGTTGATAGTTGTGGTCCAAAGTTGTTGCCTCTACGGTTAAACGTTTCCTGGTTACAGGATGAAGATCGTTGATGGAACGCACCGGTTCGTGTTGGCGTTCCCGTTCCCGTTCCCAGTGGGAACAGGCACAGGCACAGGCACAGGGACGTGGACTTGGAGGGGAAGGTGGACGGGGCGGCCAGTGCTGCTACTACGGCTTTCTGCTGGTGCTGCTGCTGCTGCTGCTGTTACTGTTGTTCGGAGGGATTGAGTATTGAGTAGCGCCTCTGCGTCCACAGCCACATCCACATCCACATCCACACCCGCACCCACGTCCCCGTCCGTGTGCCTGCTCGGCACAGGGCCTCACTCGGATGAGTAAAGCTTGTTCTTGGTCAGTGTGAAGTCGGGACTGATGTTGATGGTGTTGCTACGGGTGAGATTTCTGCGCGACAAGGGAATAACATGGATTAATAGGGTCTCTCCCAGGGACACGGGACTCTACTCACTTGATAAACTGCGGCAGCAGCGAGGTCCAGCCGCTCTTGTCCTGCTTCAATGTCAAATACAGCTCGAAGATCGACACAGTGTCTGGGTCCACTTTGAACGAGGCGATGCGCCTGGGATGGCAGAATGGAACAGTAAGCGATTGCTCCAACGGAGGCAAGCCATCGGATCACTCACCTGACGTTGTTCGGCTCGCTCTCGAACTCGATGAAGAGCGTGCAGGCGCGCTCGCCACACGGCTCACGGTCCGACATTCGGATGATCTCGGCGGCGATGCGCTCCGTGAGGTCGGCGGGCAGGTTCACCTCAGTGCAGGCCAGGTGGCGCTGCTTGGCGTCACGCAGCTGGAACTGCAGCTGCTGCGAGAGGTCCCGCACGGCGCTGGCGCTCACGTCGTCCATGTTGTCGGCCGCCCCGAAGCGGGCCCCGGCCGTCGACTGCAGGGGCGATGCGGGCATGGGGCTGGGCCCGGGTCCGTGGCCATGCCCCGGATGGTGGGCGGTGCTGGCCAGCACGTTGGTCATGTAAGCGTGGTGGTAGGCAGCGGAGCTGCCGTTGACCACGTCGAAGCTGGCCGCAACCGCGGACTGCTTCCCGGAGCCGGCCACCGGGGGTGCCATCGGCACCGTCGACCGCGTGTTGAGCGCCTGGTGCTGTCGCATGTGCAGCACGGAAGCGGGATGCCCGTCCACAACGTCGGCGTCCAGTGCGGCGTTGACGTCGACCGCGTTCTCCTCCTCCTCCTCCAGCGGATGCGGCGCGGTGGATGCAACGCCCGAACTCGGCCAGTCTGCCAGGGAGAAGGGAGAGGGGAGAAGAGAAGAGAATGGGGTTCAAATTACTGACTCGTTCATCGACCGGCAAAAGGGCAAGAGAAAAGGCACAAGGAGCAATAATAAAGAAGAAGAGAACACAAAAAAAAATCAGCTGATGTCTGCGGCTTGGAGACCCACACGGAATCTCACTCGAATTTCCACTCAAGCTACTGCGCAGACTCAACTCGAGTGTCTTCCAGGGAGCGGGAGCACGCGGCGGCACGAAATCACCTGGCAACAACAGCTGGAAATCAGCCGTTTGCCGTGCACTCTCTGCCGCTGCTTCTGGCGCTGCCTCTGCGTTTCCAGCTGACGACGCTTCCCCCTATCCCCCCCGCCATCACCCCTCTCGCAGTCAGCAGTTTGTGCCATTCCCCTTTCTGCCCTCATCACCCCCCTCGACACATCAGGCGTTATATGACGTCTTCCTCATTTTGCCTTTACTGCACAGTATTTTTTGTTATTTCTTTTGCTTTGTTTTATTACCCCGCCAGAGAGCCGTACAGTGGGACGCACAAGCGAGAGAAGCGAAGAAGTATTGCTGCTGCGGATAATGAATATGTAATTCTCGAGTCGGACAGGGAGAGGGCACTGTCATTTAATTTGTACATCTTAAGCCGAACTCCCGTTTCATCCCACTGTCTGTCGTCTGTCGTCGTTCGTCTTTCGTCTCTCCTTTAATGTGTGTACTTGTGTATGCGTGCATAAAAAGCAGTTACACTGGCCCTCTACATTGTAGGGGTTCGAATGTGTGTGCGCGAGTACAAATTAACTGCTTTGCCTCGACGTCTCGACGAACGTCTTGTAATTAGCGCGGAAACTCTTTAAAGAGCCACGCCGTGCCGCCCCCCGCCGACGCCGGCCATTGTACACAATCATTGCAACGTAGCTGCTGTTGAATGGACAATTTGCTCTCTCGTTAGCTTCGTATCTCTCTCTCACCCCATCCACGCTCAGGTTCTCCGCCCGCTGTCCGTCTCCCTCGCACTGCATGGCATGGCATGGCATAGCAGAGCATACACACAACATACACCCGCGTAATTAAGAAATTAACGGCACATGTTTGCGGCTCTCCATGTGTCCACATGTGTTCGTCTGTCCCTCTCCTACCTTCGGCTTGTGTTATTGGATTTTGTCAAGTCCCTGTCCATGGGAGAGGAGCGGGGCAAAGGGTTCGCTCGTGCAAAGTCAGGAAAGCGAAAGCCGAAAGGAACGGGAATGAAACAGAGACAAGCGACCACCAATACACATTTAATTGCAAAGTACTCATCCGAGACCGAGTCGCATATTTAGTTGGTCGGTCTCTTTCTCTCTCTCTCCCTATCACACAGAGTACATTCGGTGTGTGCGTCTGTGGTGAGAGAGCTTTTTGGGTAGGCATCACCTTTGATAAACATACTTTGTTCTTGTCAGAGCCGGCAAACGGAAAACAGAGTGAGTGAGTGAGCGTCAGGGCGATGGCTGTAGGAAAGCTACTTCAGGTACATCGGCTTTGCTGCTCACTACGCGCGCATTACGTTCCTCCGAAGAAGAGTGTTGCTTTCGCAGATCTTTAATATACATACATATGCACATACGACTAGTATACGGGTAAAGAAAACACGCTAATCAGCGGTTTAATTGGTGGGAAGATATGCACACACATACATACAGACCCGAAGGCCCCCACACATTCACGTGTATTTGTACATGTTAGCTTGTGAATCAATAATCAAGTTTATAAATTATTCATTAAAACCAATTTTGGCAGTCATTCGCCCCTGATTGGTATCTCTGGCAGTGTTCCACAAAAACATCTAAACACTCGCCCCAACAACTATTCGTAAACTAAATAAATATAGTGGATAATTTAGAACATTTTCACTAAAATACTGTAATTTAACCTGGTTTCCCTTTACAGATTCGAATACACTACAAAAATTTAATATTAATGAAAACATTTGTTTGTATTTCAATGGAATTCTACTATCTACAATCACGATTGCCATAAAAAGAAGTCATAAATCCTACAAAATAGAAACAAAAAAAAAACCGTCAAATTCATTCAAAAATAGCTTAAATGATTATCTTTATTAATTCATGGTTCATATACTTTTATCACTCACACTGCCTTCTTTTCCCGTAAGGTCTCCAACTGGCCCCACCAACCTTTAAGTGGAATACAACCAAAGGCAACAGAATCGACAATTTCAATAGAAATGAGCCATATATAACTAATATATAGGCACAAAACTACCAGAAGAATAATCTTTGCTGTCAAGGGTGTACGAAAGTTTTTGGTACCCAGTGTACAGAGTACATATGTAGAGTTGACTTCCGGAAAACCATTTTTCCAGTTGCCCGAAATCCCTTGCACAGGGGGAGGGGGGAGAGAGAGAGAGAGAGCGAGAGAGTGATATGGTCATGGGCATAACTAATGTTTATTCAAAGAAATTAAGTAATTAATTAAACAACATTATTGCCACTGGCCCCACACACACACACACACATGGACACGGACACACAGATGATGGAGACCTCTCCCCTGAGCCACCCATGGGGCTCCAGCATTTGACTAAAACATGAATATGCATGTCCATGTCGGCGGCAGCAGAGACACAGACACAGACACAGCCACAGACACGGGTGAGAGTGTGCAATTGCAATTGCAAGTGTGAGTGTTAGTGTGAGAGAAGCTGGCTGGCTCTCGGATGTCCTTCGAAAATAAAATTGCATGCGCTCAGTCAGTCATGAAATTAAATTGACTGCAAATACAGCGCGAGGGAGGCAGGGAGGGGATTCCAGCCGGAGGAAGCGAGAGAGAGAGAGAGCGAGCCAGCCAGCCAGCCAGCCAGCCAGCCAGCATATACATAACTGTGAATGCTCTTCTGTTTGTATGCGTGTGTGTGTGTGTGTGTGTGTGTGTCTCTGTGTGCGACATGTTGTTGCATGTCGTCGTCGTCGTCGTTGCCACAGAGAGTTCTTGTGCTCGCTTTTGGCTGATTTTACATTTTCCCCAGAGACGGAGGGACGGACCATCTAATTTGCACAACTCTTTTCTTTCGCCGCTGCCTTGGCAAAGTTTAAAGTGACAGGATTAACAGGATGTTGCATAATCCGACCGTCAGACACATGAACAGGATATGCCTGCATGGCCCAGACAGGAACAGGAACAGAAACAGGACAGGACGGAGCACGGGGCACGGAGCACGGAGCACGGCGTTCTTTCACGGCACACAAAAAATGCATAATGCAAATTACACATTTTCAACCCTTCGAAAAGCTTTCGCAGGATTTACATACGAACGGAACGTAGGAATAAACATACATATAAATACTTATGTGGTACGGTGCCCATTTACATACCCGGCTTGTCCAAAAAGTGCTTAGACTGCATGAAAATATTTATTGCCTTCGGCGTTTTCCACAGCGTCAAAACAATATTCAAAAGAAATCTTCGCAAAGTGAAACTAAATATGTACATATACCGATACTTTTCTGAATTCTGACAATTCAAGCTAAGACACAAAAAAAATATTCAACTGGAATCGATGAAAAATCATTCGATCAAACAATGTTGGTAAAGGCAAGCAAAACTAGATTTGAAGATTATTCTGAAGGCCGAACACTGGAATCAAGATTCTGTTCAGTGCTCCAGTTTCTGTGGGCTTACAACGCAATCCACAGGGTCAGAGAACTACCTCGAAGAATGGACCTAATCAAATCAAAATCACTCGAAGAAGCATTCCAATCCGAAGCACAAGAAAAATCCATCAAAATTTTCCGTTCGTTAAGAAAACACTTGAATAAATGTATTTTATAATCCCTGGAAAATTTGCTGAAAACATCAAATGAAATGTTCCCGTACAGCCGTAAAATTAATTGAATCAAAAAATGGGCCATAAACATGAAAAATAAAAACGTTCGTGGCACATTAAAAATATCCGAAATGGCCCTACTTCTTTTCATTCTCTAAAGAAACTGCCCGAATGGATATTGCGGCGGTGGCTGCGGCTGCGGCAGCGGCGGTGGCGGCTCCCAAGGTATACACTGACCTTAAGTTCCAATTTAATGCGTACCGAATATTTAAATTAACCAAGTTTTTTTTCCCCCCTTTTGATTCAGCAAACATCAGATTTTTGATTCAGACTGTAATTGATTTTTTTGCCAGGGTAGAGCTACTCTGTTCGCCGATCAACTCAATAGCGGAATAATAGAAATTATTTTCTCTACCGAAACTATTTATAAACGCATACAAATACGGACTGCCAGCCAAACTGGGTTTTAACAAACGATGTTCCCAACTTTGTTTGTCCAAGCCCCAACAATGGGAATAAATTATCGGTCTGTCCGACCGACCTACCGATAGAAACCTATGCGATTTTGTCGTCTCTCATTTAAAAACCTGGTATTTTTTATTCGAATTTTTTGAATTATAGCCAAGAAGCGTTGGAACTATTCGATTTACTAGAAGTTGGATCTGGATTTTTTAGCGCACATTCTACAGTTTAAACACAAACTAAAATTGAACAGAACGCAAATTTCGAAAACACTCGCGGGAGGATCAACGATAAAGAGGGCACGAATAATAGGGTATGGATGGTACTCACCTTTGATTTTATTAACACCGAATTTTCCCTGAATGTGATTTTGTACTGAGAGCACTTCCATCTTCATAGAATCGCCGTTTGGTCTGCTGCAACCGTCTGCTTTACCGTTGCTTTTCGTTGCGTGCCGTTTGCTGCTCGAGTGCGGGTTTGTGTGCGTGTGTGCAAAGTACACACTAGTGGGGTGTTTGTGTGTGTGTGTGTTCTTCTAGAAATGCACTTTAATCACAAATAAAAAAAATGTTTGATTTGATTTGAATTGAATTCCGTTAAGGGATTCCACGGGGTTTCACGGATATACGGATGCGATTCGGATTTTCACTTGGCTGCCCGCGTCTGTCGCGCCGCTCAACAAACAATTGGAAAAAGTATCAACAACTAAATTTGTTATTCTAGTTAAACGTTTAAATTTAATACATTCTAAAAGTCAACGGAAATTGCCGCCCGTCCCGTCCCGCTGCCTGCCACACTCTCTCTCTTCCTCTCTTCCTCACTGCCTCTCGCTCTCGGTGTCTGCCTTCGTCGTTCTTGTTCATTCACGCACAGCACATGGTTCTGTTCCGTTTTGTTCTTTTTCTTTTTCAGTTTCTGATTCTTGTCGGAGTTGTAGTTGTTGTTCGGGGAGGTGCTACATATGGCTTGTGTGTGGGGGTGCTGCATCCGCGTGCTGCCCGGTGGATGTGGTGCGTGTGGCGTCCGTTGGAGCTCTGTTTTTAGCTTTTGCCGTTTCTCTGCCTTCTGCTATCTGCCGTCTGCTGTTTTCTGTTCGGCTCGGTTCGGTTCGGTGCTGTGCTGTTCTGTTCCGCTGTTCGGGAGAGACTTTCGGCTCCACTCAAACGCTCGGCGGCTCTCACGGCTCAGCTGTGCTTCTGCTGCCGCTGAAGGAGAGCTTGGGACGACGGGCAACTTCTGTGGCTTGGCGGAGCGGAGCAGTTTTCAATTTCCAAAGCTACTGTCCGGCGGTGTGCGCTGCGGCTTTTATAGGAATTTCCCGGCCCGGCAGTGCGGTCGGCGTCGCAGTCGCGTCGTGCCAGTGAGTGGCTTTTCCCTTGGCAGTGAACTCTCAGCGGGCTCTCTTGAGCATATTTCTCTCTCCAGCTGCGGCCAAACATATGTTGCTATCAGCTGTTGTGGCTCATCTCGAGAGAGCGGCATGGCGTAATTACTCGTTGAGTGAGCAGAGAGTGCTCAAGAGAGTATTTAAGAGAGCACTCTTGAGTGCGCTCAAGAGAAAAAGTCGTGTGCTGCTCTTGAGTGTCTTTTGAATCCATGCGACAGTAACGGGTGGTTGTTCGAGTGGCGTTTCGGAGTGCAATGTATTCCGCTCAGTAACTGACAAAATTCTCCCTTTTCAAACCATATCTGGAGATCCAAATGGGTTTTTATGTTCGTTTTAAAAATAAAAGTAATATTTTTCTGCATAAGCTAGAAAAAAATATAAAAATAGTATTTTTCAGAGAGTCAATCTGCTCTTGTGTTTACCCAATATTTTTTGGGTATTTTTGGGTATTTTTGATATCGCAAACCTGGTCATACATTTGCACATATCGGCCAAGCCATGATTGACAATACCATTGTACCGCCTTCCGATCCAAATCAAACCTTCCCCCCACCCCCCCCACCCGACAGACCGTCTCCAGGCCCATTGTGGGGTGTGGGGTGTGGGGGGCGTGAGGCGAGATAGAAAACGGAAGAAAATGGATGAAAATGCTTCTCCGACACAGGGCCTGTCACTGTTTTAACAATTCATCTTAATAGAAATAAAAAATGGCGCCGCTGGCGTTGGACAGTCCGGCCCGTCCGCCTCGCCTCGGCTCGCCTCCCCGCCTCCCCGCCACCAGACCACTCCACCCATTGCCTCCCATCGCCACTCCTCCCCTTTGTCCAGCTTTTGCTATTTGTCACTGGTTCGTTGTGTGTGGCAGTGGGCGCTCTGGCTCTGGTTCTGACTCTGGCGCTGCTGCAGTGGATCAGCATCAGCATCAGCCCCTCCGACAGAAGCTTTCTCTCCGTATTTCCTTGTTGTCACGTTGTTGCTTTTGGGGGGCTTATACGTGGTAGTCGTCCGGTACATGGGGCTATACTGGGTGCCGCTAGAATACGAAAACCGAATGGACTTCCAGCCCGATGATAAGCCCGACCAAGGGGTATCCCATAGTCGCCACTCGAAGACTTTTTTGTAAAGTTCCTGTTTGGTTTCTTCTGCTTTTGTCGACCGCCAGTGATGGGGGGGGACTTACACATGTCAGTTAATGCTGAAAAAATGTTTACACAACACAATTGCCATACGCCGGGGGTTGGGGGTGGGGTGGTGGGCCCCAGCAGGGGGTTGCGGACACCGATGCCAAAACTTTTAAAGGCCAGTTTTCCATCATCTTAGTTTAGTTTTTTGTGTGCGTGTCTGTGTGCGTGTGTGTGTGCTGTGGGGTAGCTGGGGGCAGCTGGGGGCAGCTGGGGGTCGCTGCAGCGGGGTCGTTGTCGAACAGGATAAAAGTCAGTGGCGTACAATTAATCAAATGCATGATTTATATTCCTCTAGCCTTCATTCAAGTCTAACCTAAATACGTCCCGCTGGGCCGGATCCTGTCAAATGAGATGTCGGGGCGGGAACAACTTACTGGCAACTCCGTCCCGTACAGGCAAAGACCGGACCAGGAGCCCGGGTATAATTTAACTTTCAAGAAAACGCGCACCTCAAAAAATAGGAAAGAGGATTGCAAAATAGTACAAAGAGGCATGAAGAGGCACTGGTGACAGTGTGGTCCAACGAATATGTTAAAGATATTCCCGTAAGCATTCAACATTCTGCGATGACTGCTCTGAAGGCCATATTTCACATATTTTGCAGCTTCTAATTGCTCTCTAGCACCGAATCGATTAGCTCCTCATGATGATAGATAACAAGCATCCAGTGATCCATCCAAGTGGGCCGTTACATATCTCCAGGCACCTCCAATTTCCAATTTCTGGTAGCACTGGTGTCCCAGTCCTCGATCTCCTGTATAATGGAGCGGTACAAGCGACACTCCACCTTGGAATGTATTCTATGATTCCAATCTAGGGTCGAGGAAAGATGTCTTCTGGCTAGGGCTTTCAGTCACTACCGACCATACAATATATCGATAGAGTGCGTGGATTTTGCATTGGAATCATTCTGGTTACTAGTAAATAAATAAAACAGTAAGAGCCACGGATTTGATATAGCAAATCCATTTGCCTGTGTCATCTGGTGGTTCCACTCACCTCCACGATGGGTCTCTCTGGACACGTGGCACTGGGGAATGGGCAACACGTCTGCACATTTACCGGGTCCGCTAGACACACAAATGCACTTCGGGAGTGCGGAACGGGATTCAATGTGCGGGAGTGTGGTGCTGGGGGGTGGGGGCCGGGTTCCGCTAAAAGCCCTAACCAAAGCCCCGGCCAGGCACTTAGGCTGGCAATCCTTTCTTTGCTAAAATCAAAATTCTAGGCAGGGTCTCGGGCCAGCTACTACCTGGATGGAGATGGCGATGGCGATGGCTACGGCTATGGCGAGAGCCGATAAAACTACACACAAGCTTCCCCCGGATCCAGGGCGCTTCCAAAGAGGATTCGAAGGAATGCCTATACCCGTATCCACCGGCGAATGGACCACTTAGGACGCCTTTGCGGCAGCGGAGGACAACCAGTGTGGCTGTGCCTTGCCTCTTTTAATGCGCAGCACGTTTTTCCAATAAAATAGCAACAGCAACAGCTACAGCTACAGCTACAGCTACATTGGCAACAATCCTTTAAGTTCTTCGATACATCTGAGTGGAGCGGAGCGGAGCGGAGCGAAAGGCAGTGGAGAGAGCCGGTTCTGATACCCTTTTATTCTTACAGAGTGCGAGCGGGAGTGCCACATTCGAGTCAGTATCGCCACTATTAATATGATTATTAATCATTATTATAATGGCATACACAATGGAGTATATATCAGGGGTTGGTTCCCGCATCGATCATCACTTTCGGATCATTTCTGAAGTCAGAACAGGCCAACATTGATGAAAGCTTACCATCGAACACTATTAGATATCTTGTAGTCGCAATGGTCTCCTTTCAAGCTGGTTCTCGCCTTCTAAGCAAGGAGCCAACTGCCATGAACATCGATTTTCATGTGATTTGTGTAGACGTGTTTGGGTTTTATTGATTTTCACTTGATTCTCTCCATATGCTTAAATATACTTAAGCCAGTACGTGCACATTTCCATCCGCATTCGCAATTCGCAATCGGTCCCCATCCCATCCCCGGCCCCATCTCAACCCAAGACCAAGCATCCCATGGCATCCCTACCGAGGAAGCAAGCAAGCAAGCGGCTCTAATGTCAGGATCATGCGAGGTTATCAACATAATTTCCAAAACCCAACCATCCGCACCAGCCTCCTTCTGCCACTCCACTCCACTCCACTCCGCTCCACCCCCCAACACCAGCCACAACATGATTCTAGTTTATGATGTAGTAGGTCTCTGTTTCCTTTCCTGCACCATCATCGGGGCGGGGTGGGCGGTGTGTGCTGTCGAAGATGGGCGCGTGTGCGGCTTGATAAGACTCCTTCCTCCTTCCTCCTTCCTCCTCGCCAGCAATTCGGCTCAATTTGGTTTGGCTTCTTCCATCGGCTATCCCCCGGGGAATACTTATTTTTTGACAGCCTAGTTGGGAGTCGGGCATCAGGCATCTCAGGCATCAGGTTGAGGAAAATGTCTTTTTATTTTAAACCGAAAAGGCGCTGCTTGAAAGTTTCTCGTTTTAAACCGTAATATAATACACCCATAACGAGGGATGTCTCTGCTGTGGAAATATAGATACCAACTGACGGACCGCTGAAAGTCGATATACCATATCTTTGTGCTACTATCTTTTTGAATTAACATCCAATAGATGTATAGATCGGCACCCACAAGTCTGGAAAAACGTATAGAATCTACACTCAGCGAAAAATGAAACACACGCCTTTATATTATACCTACGACATATATTGAATTCGTTAGGCTTATTCTCTGGGAGCTCACTTTTAAAGACTTCGAAGAGCCCAATGGTCGCGAGCTGCAAGAGCACTCGTCTCAGGATTTGATAAATATATCGATGGGAATTGAAATTAGGCCTCGGCAGTGTCGCAGTCACAGGCACTGGCACAGGACCAGCCTATCCTGTGTAAGTGTAAGTGTAAGTGTAAGTGTCCTGTCCTGTCTTGTCTTGTTGCACGACAATTGGATTGGGATGTAGTACGTATTCGCTGGCGCAGGCCGGGAATAAGATGTGCCATTGCCAATGGTTGATGGTGGCCCATCAATTTGGGGGCAACGGCTGTAGCTGGGGGCAATCAAAGTGCCTGGCATTTCTGGAGCCCACTGGGGCCCTGGCCCGGGTCCGGGTCCG